CAATCAAATAGAAATCTGCTAGGCTGGTTAAATCCCACAGAGTGGGAAAGGAGCTCTTCCTGCAGCAGGTGTAGCCAGAAGCAGACTCTGAAATTTGTGGGGTTATCTCTCTGTTGCATTTTATTCAAAAAGAATTAATCCGAGTGAAAGAAAAAGGTAACTCAGAAGTCAATTCTTAGATCTGGAGATCAGTGAAATGCACTGGAGTGCAGAAGACAGAGTTCTGTCTTCTGACACCAATGGTTCTTTTAGCTTTGATAGCTACTCATTATGAAAAAAAACCACAATTAAATTATGCTTTTTAAATTAATAACAATGGAAATAGAGACCATCGATAAAAGTAAATTGTACATAAAGCATATTACTTACAAATAACAATATCCAGAGTTAAAGAATTGAGTGTATTGCATTCCTCTGGGCAAAGGGATGGTGTTGTGAGGGTGGGGGGGATGAAGTCAAGGAGAAGTTGCAAATACAATGCCCAAAACTGCCTCCATTTCCTTGCAGGGCATGCCTGTAAGAGAACCACCACTACGTGGCATTGGGGAAATGCGAAAGGATGAGAAATGCTCTTTCTAAGTCGTTGTAGTTGCCAAAAAAATCACATGATCAGGCTGTGTGGTATTTGTTTTGCTTGGCAGTCTTGTGGAGGAGCCAAGAAAATGAATGGGTAGGGTTTTTCTCCTACCTACCCCGGTCTAGTGTGTTTACTTGTCAAAGTGAAAACAAGATTGCAAGGGAGCAACGTGGGCAGACTTAATCATGAGCACCTTATTGAAGACAGCAAAGGACTGGAGACAGCTAAAGACTTGGGTGGTTAGAAGTGAGAGTTGTGTCTTGCTGATTTCCAGATGTGCTGTGGGGAGTTAACCAGCTCCTCCGTCACAAGCGGCATTTCAGAGGTATGCTACCACAGAGCTCGCTGCAGCAGCCGGCTCCTCGCCTGCTTCCTTTCAAGGGCATTATATGGCCCTTAGTGCATTTTCATAACAACATTCCTGTTTGATTAAAGAAAAAAAGCAGGGCAAGATTTCAGATATTGAGTATGACATACTCTGAAAATTGCTGTAGCTTCTCTGTGTCCATTGCTCTGTGATCTTTGCTGCTTTGAACGCTTCCAAAAATAACTTGAAAGAGATGCATGGCTCACTTATTGTCAACATGCATACTTATTGATCTAGATGATTGCTTCGAAAGAGAGGACAGTAGAGAAACCATGCTCTGCTATCCACATGTTTAGACCTTCTGCCTCATTGTGCTCAAGCTAATGAGGAAAGACACATATTGTGGCAGGACAACAAAGAAAACCTGCCTGCTTTAAAGTTATCTGGTTCTTATATAAATATTAAAAAAAGTCATTAAAATACATAAACCATTTGACTTTAAATGTATTTTGCTAACTAAACCAGCTCATATCCTACAAACACCCCAAAAGCTGCTCTTAATTCTTTGGTTGACCAGATGCCCTCGATACAATGCGAAACAGCCTTGGGCCTACTCTGAACTGCCATGGCTCTATTGAAGATCCTTTTAAGTAGCCATGGAAAACAGTAGCTCATTGATTGCTCTGGCTGTTTTTCCTGTTCCTCAGCACTGTCCTGCAGGAGATGTTTCAGGAGGCTGGGAGATGTGGTTTTTCCCCTCCCTCGTGCCCCTAGGAGGAGCAGTACCACCCTCCTGCCCAGGGGAGAAAGGGTGGCTGCAAAATGCCCCATCTCCCTTCTCTTAGATCTCATTCCATGTCTAATATTGAGATTGATTTCAGCCAGAAGCATTCCATATAGTTGCCACATCTATGCTTTTGTTAAAGTCTGATATTATTTTGGCTGTGTTCTGGTTAAAGTTTGATGTTATTTGGCTGTATTTGGTCCTGTAACTAATTCCTTGCCTTTGACAATTTCCTTTTCTAGAGTTTAACCAGATGTTACATGAAAAAATGGATTTCTTATGAGCAGTCCTGATTTACTTTCATTTTTGTTTTGGTGTGGGGTCGATTTTTTGTTTGCTTAGTTGGTTTTATGTTTTGTTTAAAGAGGAGGTGGATTTTTGTGCCTCTTCTCCATCTTGGTCTTTACCATCTTTTTTGTGCTACTGGACTGGCATAACAAGGTGGGGAGATCTCTTGCTGTAAATATAAAATGTGTCTATAAAATATATTTATTTATGTTAGCTTTTAGCAGTAGTGACTTCAAATTTCCAGCATGAAATTTTCAAGTATGGACTTGCCCTAAACTGACAGCCTTATGAATGTGCAGATTAGAATAAAACCTCATTTGCATTAGGAAGAATTTGAGACAAGATTGCAAAATACTTTCTCTGATTTGTGTCTGTTGTGGATTTAACCTGCAAAGCTGAGCGGCTAATCCAGCTTTCTCCCCACAGCGGACCTTTGGAAATCTCTGTGCACTCAGGTTTACTGCCCACCCAGCCAAGAGGAGCTGGCATGCACTGCAGGTAGCTCAGCAGTGGCTAAAGCAGAGCTGCGCTGAGGTGATCCACAGAGATGTGAATGTACTGAAATGCCCAAGACTCAGCTTGATTTCAGCCAGCTTTAGAATCACAGAATCATAGAATATTAGGAGTTGGAAGAGGCCTCAAAAGCTCATCTAGTCCACCCCCCCTGCCAGAGCAGGATCACCTAGACTAGATCACACAGGAACGTGTCCAGGTGGGTTTTGAATGTCTCCAGAGAAGGAGACTCCACAACCTCTCTGGGCAGCCTGGTCCAGTGCTCTGTCACCCTCACAGTAGAAAAGCTTTTCCTTATATTCACATGGAACCTCCTATGCTCCAGCTTGCTCTCATTGCCTCTTGCCCTGGCACCTTTCTCCTGACACTTGCCCTTTACAAATTTATAAACATTGATGAGATCACTCCTCAGTCTCCTCTTCTCCAAGCTAAACAGACCCAGCTCCCTCAGCCGCTCCTCATAAGGGAGATGCTTCACTCCTTTAATCATCTTTGTGTCTCTGTGCTGGACTCTTTCAAGCACTTCCCTGTCCTTCTTGAACTGAGGGGCCCAGAACTGAACACAATATTCCAGGTGCAGTCTCACCAGGGCAGAGTAGAGCGGAAGGAGAACCTCTCTCGACCTACTAACCACCCCCCTCCTGATACACCCCAGGATGCCATTGGCCTTCTTGGCCGCAAGGGCACAGTGCTGGCTCATGGTCATCCTGATGTCCTCCAGGACCCCCAGGTCCCTTTCTCCTGTGCTGCTCCCCAGCAGGTCAGTCCCCAACCTATCCTGGTACATGGGGTTGTTCTTTCCCAGATGCAAGACTTTGCCCTTGTTGTATTTCACCAAATTTCTCCCTGTCCAACTCTCCAGCCTGTCCAGGTCTCACTGATGACAGCACAGCCTTCTGGACTGTCAGCCACTCCTCCCCATTTTGTGTCATCAGCAAACTTGCTGACAGTGCACTCTGTTCCCTTGTCCAGCTTGTTGATGAATATATCAAATAGTACTGGTAAACTAGCTGGAAATCTGATATATAAAAAAATACTTTAAAAGCTGTATCTGAAAACAATACCATGGGATTGGATCCAACATCCATTGCTACTAAATGCAATGGGAGGAGAAGAAAGCCAGGACAAAACAGAAAAGGTGTTTGCAAATAATAAAATGGGTATGTATTTTTCCTGGTACTCTACCTGTGCTGTGAGTGCACCAGACGCAGCCAGTTGCTGACCACAGACTGGATAGGGGATGTATCATGAACAGCATGAAAGTAACACAGCGTTGCAGCTTCTGGACTACAACTAGCTGAGCGAAATCATGTCCATTAGCACCCTCTGGATTCCAGAACTGGAGTTATAGTTCTATTGTTTTAGCCTATTAGGAAGAGACTAGGATTTGACTTTTTCAAGGAACAGTTTGAAAATAAAAGAATTCACAGATCTGAGGATGGAGATGTGGCTGTTTTGTCAGGCTCTTAGCATGGGTGAGAGAGCATCCTGTTAACGCTGCAACTATGAGGACAGTAAAAATAAACTCAGTGGATATAGTGTTGGGTATAAAAATAAATATTTTAAAATTCTTTCTCTTTCAATTTGGCATCTGAATATAGGGAAAACTCCACTAGTTTGGCTGCAGTAATTTTTATATACAGCCTTGAGGAAAATATCCTGCAGATGAGATCTGTCAGAGGTGTGCTCTTGCATTTGGTGTAACAAAAATGAATCTGAGTTCAGTCACCCGTTCTCTGTCAGATGTGGAGTCAATAAACACCTCTTGTGCTTTGTGGTTTCTAGCCGCCAAGCAGCATCAGCATTCCTCCTCCTGATATGACTCAGAAATCTGTCGGCCCTGCAGATCTTAATGTCTGTGCACAGCATCTGATGGGATTTCTAACCCTATCTGCGACCTCTACACTGAGATTTATTTTTGTTCCTAATGCAGAGGAAAACTAAGACAACATGTTCTGTGGTAGTTCTATAATTTCTGAGCTTATGGGCTTAGAAATGTAGGAAAAATTATTTATTGCTGTGGTAGTCATCACATATATACAGTGGGATACACAGAACACAGCATCTGTTCAATGACATCTTGTATTAAAATGGAATTCTACCTAGAAAGGTGTGTATATAAAAATGACTCCACAGCAGTGTTTTTTTATTTTGATTAAGAATTTTAGTTATGATTTATGCAATAAAGAATGCCTCTCTGAAAACAGAGAAAGATGCTGTTCATAACAAACCTTTAGCAAGTAATACTTTAAGCTCTTTTTCGATGCTCCCTTCCAACTTTCCAGGGAGGGCAGGTATATTTACAGAGGCAAGGGAAGGCATTGTGATATCCATTCAGCCCAGGTAAGTGATAATCTTTCAAGCCATTTTGCACACTGATTTTAAAAAGCAAATAAACTCACAGAGGTAGCAATGCATTTTATAGGTTCAAAGATCAGGGCACAGATAAATTTTAAGTTGTTATGAACAACAGGTATCTTAGCTTATGGAGCTCAAAATATATTCATTATGTTAGTTTCTGAAAAGAAAACAATTTTTTTTTGAGGTTAGACAATCTGAGTTTTGCTTATTCTAGTTAGAAGAAAGCTCAGTCCCTATTCAAGACCCTCTTCCTGAGGAGCCGGAGCCTTGACATGACCATATCCCAGTCTGCGTAGGCACCTTCCAGGTGACGAGTCACTTCTGATCCCGATGGGTAGCTATTACGACTGTGAAGCACGCGCCAGTTATCAAATGTCACTATGTCTCCTATAAAGAAATGTCACAAAGCTTAGTACTTGATATGTTATAGTTAATTCTTTCACACAGATAACGTGGATATAGATTTATACCAACAGTTAGGGAGCAATAATTTCAAGTAGCTCAGCTGGAGATACACAGCAATGACACAGTAATTTTAATTTAGCTGGTCATTCTCAACCAGAGAAGGCAGGTCCTTTCTGACCTTTGCTTCTTTTCTTGTACAACCAGGAGTTAAAAAGCAAAGTGGTAGGGGAATCCATGCTGAGAAAAGCAGGCCTTGAGTGAAAAGGTGACTACAGCAAATCTACAGGAAGGATAAAAGGGGTGAAAGCCACTAGGATGATTTTCATTTGATCAGTCTCGGATTATTTGTACTATACACATCCTGCATTACTCTTCCTGTTAAAAGAATTTTATGAGAACAAAGTCAAGCCATTGAAAGATAGAAAATCACATAATTAAGGCTAGCATGCCATCTTTATTTTTCTCCCCTGTGTGCCACCATTACAACAAATCTCTAATTAAATAACATTATAGTCTTTCTCTCCTCCTTCCTCTCCTCTATCACCACTTTCATGCTTTAATTGATGGGATGGATCATACTAATGTAATGTGAAGTACTTTGTTTTACAATTTATTATGTGATCTTATAAATTATTTTATTGCATGTTCCCAACAGAGAGAGATTAATTTCCTCATAGACATTTTAAAGACACTAGCATCATAGTGCATGAGGCAGTCAGATACAAGAATGAATTTACTTTTGTAACATCTCTTGAGAGGTAAGGCACTATTCATATCTTTATTTTATAGCTGGGGAATGAAAGAACAGAGATTAAGGCCAAAGTAGTTAAATATATGCATGAACTGACTTTTATAGAGTAAAGGGCATTTTTGCAGCATGTTTTATGTTCAAAACACAGCCCTGTACAACTCTAGCTGAAGTTCAGAGCTCTTAGTGCTTCTGCAAATCTGCCTCCAGATGTCTTGCACAGGCCACCCAGAGAAGGCAGCACAGAGCAGTGCCCTTTTGCTGTTCACCCAGAATCATGCTGGCAGTTGCCAGCTTTGCTCAGACACTGAATGAATTGCCCATGATGATGTTCAGATTCCTTCAGCGTTATGCACGTTACACCTCTGTATCATCTTCTAGATTTTCTGCAATCCCTGCAGCCATTGGGAAGGTGCCCCACTAATATTGGTATAAAGCCCAAAGCATCAAATGAAGCAGAGGAAAAAAGTATGTGATCACGTATCACTTAATGAACAGACACTGAACTGTGATGGCACAGCAGTCTTACATGTGACATTTCCCATCTGTGGCACTGTTGATATGACAAGTTACAATTTCCTATATGGTATGGTGTTTTGATGTAATATAAGACATACCAGACTAACTAATAGATAGACTCTATTTCCCTGCCCCCGCTTTTTTTTTCTTTATAGCATAATAACAGCAAAAGAAATCTATTAATTGATGAATGTATGGATGAAATATGAAATAAAATAGATGACAGAATGACTGAAATTTCCTCTTCGTACTAGTGCTAACAATACTCAAGTGTTTTGACTGTTAGGAAAAACATGAAAAAATCACTGTGAGAAGGAATTTGCTGACCTGGTTTCAGCTTGTAAGTAAACTTGTTTTCTGTGCTGTTTAATAAATCATTAAATTCCTTTAGAGCTGCATAAAACGGCCTCACTTTTTCAGCTGGTATGTCAAACACTGTGTCTCTTGTTGCATTATTATAATTGATGCGAACTGCTTGGCCTCTGGAATCCACACTGTGAGACACAGAAGGAAAGGAAAAGGCATGTAATATTGTTACTGAATATATTGTTACTGAAACACTTTAAAATGGTTAAACAACAACTGAACCCCCTTGCTGAAATTTCAGTATGTTTCTACAGCGAAATTCAGATTGTTATTGGGTTGGATTTTGACACTTAAGCCTAACTAAGAAAAGTGATAGGAGAAAGTGTAGACAAATTGCTCAAAAATCTATTTTCTATACACTTTAATTTTAGAATCATAAACTTTTTAAATTTAGAAGAGAATATGAACATTTTCATTTGATCTTTTTATAGTATGTAGTTCCTAATATAAATGCTTCAGATTATGACCTCTCTCTGGCACAATGCAGATGTACATTGGTTGGAATTTAGTAACAGACCCAGCTACTTTTAACCTCTGTCTGTAACTAGGAGTAGCTCTAATTACCACCGCTTCTTGCTGGTGTGTGGCAAAGCTAAACAAGGAAAACTATGCTGTGGTGGTACAAAGCACAGAACAAGTAATAAACTGGCAAAAACCACCCCAAACAAACCGAAAAAAACCCACCCCAAAATAACTGCAGATCAAGTTAAACCAGTGTTTCCCCACAAGGTGGCAGGAGCAGACCTTCTCCTACCAACATGTAATTCATCACACAACGGGGATTTTGGTTTTCGATGTTGTTGAAACTACTCACTCTATAATCCTTTGTTTAGATTGCACAGCAAAATCACAGAAGTCCATTCCAACATCTGTATAGTCTACAGCAGTAGAGGACAGGATCTGATATGCCTGAGGATTTTGTTTCTTCAGCTTATTGCATACGTGAAATCCATCTACAACTTCACTTTCACCTCCCACAGCTGTTTGCTTTATACAATGAAGAAACTGAACCTGGAATGAATTAACATCTCATTACAAGAAAAATTAGCCTGCATATTTAACGATTCATTAGTATCAGTTCCCTCATGTCTGTGGTTCTGGTTTTTTGGTTAATATTTCTTTTCAGTGAAAGACTGAGTTCCCATTACTGCAACTTCACAGCACTCTGCCACCACTATCACAAAGGCAGAAAATTGAAGTAGCATGTTCATAAATCCATCCCATTTGGGATATCTCTTAATGATTTCAACCTGCAACTCAACTGCAATGCTCTGGTCTCGCTTCTTTCCTTTGAGTTCCTCTTTGTCCTATAATTTTAAATGCATTGCAGTCTTCTCTCAACAAGGAGGATTAGTTTTCTCTTGCAGAAACAAAACCTGCTGTGAATTATCTGCTCACAGAGGGGGAAAGGTGGCTGTCATAGAAGGCAACAGGCCCAGTATCTCTATGATAAAGTAGGGTTAAGATAGTTTCATTTCACTTCACAGTGAAATTGCCAAGGTGGAGATGGAGCACAAAGCCCCAACTGCGCTCTTGGTTGTATCAATGTAAATCTGAGCTCCTGACACAGGCAGTAAAACTCCTCATGGCACTATAGAGTTCAACATCACACAGAGTGTAAACATTCATCTCAGCTAAACAACACAACATACATGTGGGATACCAATGGTAACAGCATTTACCTTTCCCTTCCATGATGCTGAATTATTTCTGAGACCACTAGGAGAAAAAAAAAGCCCCCCCCCAAAAAAAAAACAACACAACACAAAAAAGCAGGAGGAGAAAGAGCAGAGAACAGGATCTGTCCCAGAATATTCTTACCAGCTGGACCCACAGACCTTGATGATGGTGACAAAAGGGGAAAATGAAATAAACGACAGTGCAGGAGGGAGACTTGTTTGGAAAGGATGTAAGCTAATTCATTCATTTGATGAAGCAGCATTCTGCCCTCCTGCCATGCTCCTTTTGGCCAATGAGATGTGGGAGGAGTTGAGGCTTCTACTGAAAGGAGCACAAGGCAACCAGCTCTTTTCCTTTGCCGACACAGCCGGCCTTGCGTAGGGTAAGCAAGGCTTGGCGCTGCTAAGAAGGGCTGCAATAACATCCTGCATGATAAATGGTTCTGGAGAAGTTCAAAAGGAGAATTTAGCTTTGCATCCTAGAGAGCTAATGTTTCTGCTAGATCTAATCATCAGTTGTTGTTATTTTTTTTTAATCGGGGTATCTCCTGGAAAAATAGTTGCCAGATCAAAACCTAGGAAAACCTAAAAATACTTTTACAGGGTGGCTCTGAAACTAATCATCATCCATTTAAAAGCAATTCATCAAATATTTGTAGTAAATATATCATAAGAGTTCAAATATTGTGTAATAAGTAAATAAATAAAGAAAACTGCACATTCAGAACAATGTTAAAATAATTTATTGTGCTTTAATACTTTTATTTCTTACAAGCATGTTTGAATGAAAAAGGTTATGCTCTTTTTTTAACATTTCATAGCAGAGTGTGAGGTTTGGCACAGACGAGAGTGAGCTAATTCACATCTGCTTTCTATTAATGAAGCCCTATTCCATTCTTACTCCACATTATTGAACAGCATTTAAATGATTTTAATAGGTGATGTTAGTGTGAAATATTTGGTACTTAATTCTGGATATATCACCTTGGCTTTCTGCATAATTATAGAAACAACTGATACGAAATACTCCACAACATGAGAAGGGGAAGTTGTAGGTATGAAGCTCATAGATGCAACCTTTTCCAGGATTATCTTTGTTCCTTTGTACCTCTTCCTACTTCTTTTCAGTTCTGGTGAATGATGTGGATTAGGCTCTGATATGTCAGGGTGAAAATGTATTTTCTGTGGTTGCTGCCAGCTTTACAAAATGCCCTTTTTTGTCTAATTATGAAAGGGCAGATAAGGCTCTAATTTCAAACAATTTATAGAAAACAGAATAGAACATCTTAATCATATTTTTTCTAATATGTTCTCCTCCTGAGGTGAACAGACATGTCTTGAGAGGTCACAGCTTGACTACAGCATGTAGACACCCAACTTCTTCCATATAATGAAAGCAGCATATAGGACCCTAATGCTTTCTCACATGGTAATATTCTCAATACTTTGTGAGTTTCCATTTAAAAATTATTGCATGCATAATGCAAATCTTGCATCATAATGTATAGATTGCATACCCATGTGCACATAGACTATTAGATGTAGTTTAATATATTATTATTTTTACACTGCTCTTTTAAGACAAAATTCAGAGTCACTGAACGCTAACCATATTTCACACTATAGGAGCATTTCCCTTTCCCCTTTTGTGTTTTAAAAAAGTCAGTAGATTCACCTTACCCCAGGTGGATGCTGCAGAACAGGGTAATCAGTGTGAAAACATAGTTTCCCGGTTGTATAAGCCACATTGTTAGCATCTGCTTTGTCTTGCACTTGCCAAGTTGGTCTTTATAATGAAAGGGAAAAGAGAAAACATGTTAAAACAGCCAGCCAGAACACACCGAAACTGTGAAATCACAGTACAGAAGAGCCATTCCATCTTTGAACATGAAAATATTGTAAAATTATAAGGAAATCATGATTTAGCAGTGTCCTCCCAGCCCAGCAAAGAAGGCTTATTTCAACTATCCTAGACTCACAGAATCACAGAATCACAGAATCGCTCGGTTGGAAAAGACCTTCGAGATCATCACATCCAACCACTCCTGTCTACCCCCTAAACCATATCCTTAAGTACCTCAAGATAGAAACTCTGGTGTGCCAAGGGACATCTGGCCCCAGTGCAGCACCTAATAGAATGATGGCTTTCCAGTGGTGGTACTTTGCTAAATGCAAAGATCAGCTGAAGACACTAACCAAGAGGTATCTGCTAGGATAAATCATCATCTTATTACTGACACTTCAGAAATAAGAGAGTGGAAATTGGCCCATTTCTTTTTATCAACCTTCCATTTTTCCCTGCTGGATGGAGAACATTATGAATAAAATATGGAATTCTTAAAGGCTATGTAACTTTCCCCAAAAGTTACTTTTAAAGCTTTATGGTCTTAGAAAATATAGAGTATCCTTTCCTATAACTTGAAGACTTGCTGCTAAAGGAAAATGTCCTGATGAAAGACTTTGTAACTTCTTCCCTTTCTCTGACAGTCTTTGTGATAACTACCCCCATGTATTTTGTTACATAGTTTGAGTCTTGAAGTTTGACAAAATTCAATAAGAAAGTTTACTGAAAACTGCAGGGAAAAAAAAAAGTCTTAGTTCTATGACAAAGACATGAATACATCACATTGCAGCACAACCAAAATCTGCTTTAAGTGACACACCATGCAGGAGAATTTAAGACCAAGAACCACGCATCTTGTTTGTACAGTTCACATGACTGAAGACAGTCCTCAGCAGAAGCATGTTGTATATCCAGACATTTGTCTGGAAAAATGCAAGTCACCATATGCAGCCCATGTAATTACAGGAACATAAGTAATTTAAAAGAAAATATGAAACCCATTTTCCCTTATGAAGTACTATAAACCAAATATATTATGTTTCAGATGGTGTGTGTCTAACATTACTCCTTAATAATAGTTTAAAAAGAAAATAGGCTAAAGAACATGCAGACCAAAATGATTTATATATAGTATGCAAACACTTTTGTTCTATGAGTGGTATTTAGTATAGAAACTAAATGTTAAAATTTAATTTCTTAAATTGCTAAGCAGAAAGCCTCCTTGAATATTTGCAAATAAGTTTAACTGCCTGGGAGAAAGAGTTATTATTATTTGGTACAGCACATATTCATTAGTACACAGCTTCCACACACAAGTATGATAATTTCAACCACACTTCTGTAGTTCCCCATTTTACAGAAAAAAAACGAGCCTGTTATACCATCCTTGCCATTAGCGTTGAAGGTAGACAGGTTCACTATATCTTTAATTTAAAAGACTCCAGTGTCACTTGATGGTTCTAAAACAATTGAACACATGTTAATTGTCTCACTTATATGCAATATATACAACTCCTGGAATGGTAGTACTTTATAAAATCATTGTAAGGTTTTGCAAAAACCATCAGTGCTTTTGTGCTGTTACGCTTCACGAGGGAAGCTGGTCACCCCCAGGAGCTTTCCTTCCACACCAGGAGCTTTGGTCAAAGCCCAAGTTACTGACTTGAAGTCAGCAATGCTAACAAGGAGCTCAGCACTGAATGTGAAAAAAATCAGCCTTACCTTGTCCAAGTCTTGGCTGAGCTGAAGTATCAACTCAGTCGTGGGAAGAGTGCACGAGAAATAAAGGAAGAAAATGGGGGTAGTGGTTACAGGACTCCTGGCCCTTATGGGGAGCAAAACAGGGTGGAATATTTTATGGTTTAGTAATTAGGGTCAGATTTCAATGTCAATTGCTCAGGCTGTTTGGCAGAGGAGGAAATCTGGCACCAGACAGGTGTAGCAATTTTTTGCATTAAGTGGCAATGGGGGCTTAGAATCCCTGAGCAGAAAACGAGCCCGTTTGCTACACCCTTAGTCTTGCAAAACCGCTGCACCAGGAACTAAAGCCACACTTGAAACATCTGGTCTTGTACTTTATTAAAAATCTAAGTCTCATTCATAAGAGATTTGGGACTCATGTCCTTCTCCTGCAGCTGAAGCCCTCTGGGAGGTGCAGATGGGTTGACTGTTTCAGTGGGAGTGTTGAGGCCCAATCACACCACCCCAAGCCTTGGACAAGGCTTCAGAACAGGGGAGGAACACAAGGTCTAGGGCATGAGAATTTGGAGGAATGAATTGTAGTATGACTGGAGACCTTGTTAATGTAGTTGTGCTTCTGTAATACAAAGAAAAAGGTTAATTTAAAAGTTTGGAACTCCTTGCTGTTATATGGCTGATACAGGGAATGTTTCCACTTTTTACAGTACTGACATTTTAGGTAGCATGTACCAAACAGATATCTAGACAAGAAGAAAGGCTTTTGTTTTTCCATATGTCAGGGTTATATTCATTGCTGTTACATTCCAGTTTAAAATTCATGGCCCTGCTAAAGTAATGTTTTATTTGGCAAGTTTGCCAATTCCAAACTTATCCTTTTATTTATAATATTTGGTAGGCCTTGTATTTGGCTGCTAGTGAAACAGCAAGGGAATTACCTAAAGTTACTATTTTATTACAGTTGTAAAAGCCATCTCAGAACTGGATGCCAGTAAGAAATGAACTTCTTGTTTAGAGGTGAAGAGATGGACTGTAAAAATGCTGCTCTAAGTCTGCTGTTAAGACTGAAAACTCAATGGATTTTCTGCTTCTGCAAAAAATATGTAAGAACAACAAGGCCAGGAACCACAATAACTATAGCTGAAAATGAAACAGGTTAAATTAGGCAAAAAGATACTATA